TATAGTGGAAGGTTATCACCAGGCAGCGAGGCGCTGTTGTGTGTCACACGGAGGGCCATAGACTCACACAGAGACCCACAGACTCACACAGAGACACACAGACTCACACAAAGACCCATAGACTCACACAGAGACCCATAGACTCACAGAGACCCATAGACTCACACAGAGATCCACAGACTCACACAGAGACCCATAGACTCACACAGAGACCCATAGACTCACACAGATCCAAAGACTCACACAGAGACCCATAGACTCACACAGATACACATAGACTCACACAGAGACACATAGACTCACACAGAGACCCATAGACTCACACAGATCCAAAGACTCACACAGATACCCATAGATTCACACAGAGACCCACAGACTCACACAGAGACCCACAGACTCACACGGAGACTCACAGACTCACACAGAGACCCACAGACTCACACAGAGACCCACAAACTCACACGGAGACTCACAGACTCACACAGAGACCCACAGACTCACACACAGACCCCACAGACTCACACAGGACCCAGCTTACATTTGTTATTTTAATCCACGCATATGAGTCAGCACGCAGCACCGCAGTTTCACATTGGCCAGGGTGGCCTGTCGGATTCGAACCCACGAGTTGGTTGGGCCGCTTCGCACCCTGCACCCCTCCTCCTCCCTGCATGGGTAATGGTAGCAGACAAAGACAAAGGTCCCCCGTGTAGCCTTAACAGACTGTAGGGGCAAGTGCTGTTAGCGAGTAGCACCTATGAAGGCCGGCACGGCACACGTGGGGGTGGGGGGTGGCCAGCACCACCACGCCCGGCCGCCTTTGTCTCCCCACTACGATTTCACTACACACCGCACCAGGTACTCATTTGAGGCTGAGTCGACTTAGGGGGAGGCCCAGCGCTAACCGCTGCACCACCGCTCTCTCACCCCCACCCCCCCACATATGCATAAGCGTCATGCCAAAGTATGTTGTCAGGGCTCGCATTCCTGTAGGCAACTCGAATCGGCGTCTCCTCTGTACCACACAGCTGAGCTCACAACCAAAGATAAAGAGACCTCAACCCCCGTGTAGCCTGTGACAGACTGTCGGGCAAGTGCTGTTAGAAAGTAGCACCTTATGAAGTCCGGCACGGTGGCACACGAAGGGGTGGGTGGCCAGAACCACAAAGACAAAGGTCACCCGTGTAGCCTGTGACAGACTGTCGGGCAAGTGCTGTTAGCGAGTAGCATCTATGAAGGCCGGCACAATGGCACACGAGGGGGTGGGTGGTCAACACCACAAAGACAAAGATCACCCGTGTAGCCTGTGACAGACAGTCGGGCAAGTGCTGCTAGCGAGTAGCACCTATGAAGGCCGGCACGGTGGCACACGAGGGGTTGTGTGGCCAGAACCACGCCCGGCCGCCTTTGTCTCCCCAGCGGCGATGTTTTGTACGCGTAGCACGAAGCACTCATTTTAGGTTGAGTCAACCTATTTGGAGGGCCCTGGACCGGTGCAAGAAAAAAATCGCCGCCGTTGTTGTTGGGAATCGAAGCTTCGCTTCGCCGGAAATCGTGAGCGCGGTGCGCTGACCACTGCGCCACCGCTCCTCCAAAGCGCAGCAAGCAACAACAACAACCACCACCACCACCAACAGTATAGTAGCCACAGCACAGCTGCAGTCGCCTTTATCTCATCTCCTGTGGCTTTTCTTGAATTGGAAAATGAAAAAATAAACACTTTCCTGCGGAGGGAGCTGGTAGGAACGTTGGGTTGCTCGGTCAATGGCCAGGGTCAACAGCGGCGTGGTGTATTCCGCAAATATGCCCGACTGTGAGGGCGGGCACAAGCCGGCGTGAGTAGGTTAAACGTTGAGTTTTATAAGGACACCACGGGGTGACCAGCCCCTCCCCACCCAGCCCCACCCCTCCCACCCCCCACCCAGCCCCACCCTCCCCACCCAGCCCCTCCCCACCCTCCCACCCCTCCCCACCCAGCCCCTCCCCACCCCCCACCCAGCCCCTCCCCACCCTCCCCTCTCCACCCAGCCCCTCCCATTTTTGGATGCACGACGGACGGACACAATAATCCCCTGTGGGCTGGTGTAACCAGGAGGTTCCTACCAATATTAACTCACTCTCTGTCTGTTGTTGTCGTATCCTCAAATCTTGTAACTCAATTTTAACCCACTTCCCAATGTGGTATCGACTGCAACCGTGGTATACTTATGTCATACTGATGACAACACTATATTCTATCATTAAAATTGTATTTTTAAACATTATTTGTATATGTTATGTTTCGGCTTGGGTCTAATTATCCACGTTATGGCAAGCTTCGGGGCCACTTCCTGGAGTCGTGGAGTTCTTCCATTACTAGTACGGTACATTTCATTAAAGCGTGTTTTTTAATTTAAACGTTTTTTTTTAAATATGACTTATTTTGTTTGCATGCTTTGGCCACAAATACAACGCGTGTGCTCAATGCAGGCGTGAAGATGCCTCGCAAACGGTGTGTGGTGTTTGAACAACATCTGAACGCAACTACTGTAAATAAAGCCCTCTGCTTATGATTCTTATTTTCTTCTCCAACGCACCCACTTTTGTTGGCGCTCAAAACGTAGAAAGAGCATTCTTTTGACCCCCCCTCTCCCCCCCAGAATTGATCAGATTTGATGTTGCTCAATAAAAGTCGGTGGCTTCCTTTCGGGCGCGTTGAATCTTCCTTTTCGCAAGCCACCCCGCTTCTATTCAAGCAGTGAAATCAGATACATTCTGGCTGGGTGGTCCAACGAAAACATTTTTACTTTCTACTTTTTGGAGTGCAAACGAAAGTGTGCGCATTGAAAAAAGCACGTGGCCTTTTTAAACAAAACAAAAAAGCTCACCTTGTCTTATATACCAATATACGAAAGGTTCATAATCAACGTTTTTGGGTTAGATCGCGTTATTTATAAATGTGTCGTAACCCTCCACCACCCGACACGGCCAATCCAGCAAAAAAAGTGTCACGTTGACAAAAGACAAAATAGTTCACTACTTTAGCCCACCGGTGTGTTGAAGAATGAATCCACAACATTTATAAAAATAAAAATGGTAAATGTTGTGGTTTATTTTTGTAAATGTTGTGGATTCACTCTTCAACATACCGGTGGGCTAAAGCAGTGAACTATTTGTCTTTTGTCAACGTGACACTTTTTTTCTGATTGGCCGTGTTGGGTGGTGGAGGGTTACGACACATTTATAAATAACGCGATCTAACCCAAAAACGTTGATTATGAATAATATTGGTCGCGAAAGCCTACGTGTTCAAATGCGAAGGGTTAACATTAATTGGGGGGAGAGGGGGCACAGGACATATGGACCATCCTGTACTGTACATTGAAGACAAACCAGTTTTGGTAGTCGGCTCTGGACCACACAATGGGACGATGACAAAGCCACTGCGGTTTGTGCGTATTGAGCAGAGAAGGAGGAAGGGCGACACGAAATCTCAGTAGATGATACAGAGACTCATAGAAATACACAGAGACTCAGAGATACACAGAGACTCCTAGAGATACAGAGAGACTCATACAGATACACATAGACTCACAGAGATACACAGAGACTCATAGAGACACACATAGACTTATAGAGATACACAGAGACTCATAGAGACTCACAGAGACTCATAGATACACAGAGACTCAGAGAGATGCTCAGAGACTCATAGAGACACACAGAGACTCATAGAGACACACAGAGACTCATAGAGATACACAGAGACTCATAGAGACACACAGAGACTCATAGAGATACACAGAGACTCATAGATACACAGAGACTCAGAGAGATGCTCACACTGACACACACACTGACACACTGACACACACACAAGACAAAGATCCCCCGTGTAGCCTTGACAGACTGTAGGGGCAAGTGCTGTTAGCGAGCACCTATGAAGGCCGGAACGGCACACGAGGGGGTGGGTGGCCAGCACCACGCCCGACCGCCTTTGTCTCCCTAGTGGCGATGTTTACACCGCACCAGGTACTCATTTGAGGCTGAGTCGACCTAGGGGAGGCCCGGGACTGGTTCAGATAATCGTCACGGGTGTTGGCCGTGAGCGGGAATCGAACCCGGGTCACCAGGTTCATAGCGCAGCGTAGCGCTAACCACTACACCACCGCTCCCCACCCACACACTGACACACACTGACACACACACAGACACACACACATACACACACACACATACACACACACACACACTGACACACACTGACACACACACAGACACACACACAGACACACACACACAGACACACACACACAGACACACACACACACAGACACACACTGACACACACACACTGACACACACACTGACACACACACAGACACACATACACACACACACACTGACACACACACACTGACACACACACAGACACACATACACACACACTGACACACACACTGACACACACACACACTGACACACACACTGACACACACACACACTGACACACACACAGACACACACACACTGACACACACACACTGACACACACAAACACTGACACACACAGACACAGACACACACACTGACACACACACAGGCACTGACACACATACACACACTGACACACACACACTGACACACACACACTGACACACACACTGACACACACAGACACACACACTGACACACACACACTGACACACACAAACACTGACACACACAGACACACACACTGACACACACACAGACACTGACACACATACACACACTGACACACACACACACTGACACACATACACACACTGACACACACACACTGACACACACACAGACACACACACAGACACACACACTGACACACACACACTGACACACACACACAGACACACACATACATACACACACACACAGACACACACACTGACACACACACACTGACACACACACAATCCCCTCCCCCCGCGTTCCACCCGCACAGGCGACTCGCCCCGCCTCAGAGCTCCGACTGCAGCACGTTGCGAGGTTGCGCAAGACGCGTGCCCCCAGGGCACTTCGGGGGCTGTGAAGAGAGAGACACAGAGACAGACAGAGAGAGAGACAGAGACAGACACAGAGACAGACAGAGACAACCAGAGACAGACAGACATAGACAGATAGAGAGACAGACTGAGCGAGACTGAGCGAGGCTGCGAGAGAGAGTGAGACTGAGAGACTGAGCGAGAGAGACAGACTGAGAGTGAGCCTGGTAAGAGACTGATAGAGACAGTGAGAGAGAGAGAGAGTGATCGAGAGACTGAGAGACAGAGACTGAGAGACAGACTGAGAGAGAGACACTGAGAGAGAGACACTGAGAGAGAGACACTGAGAGAGAGACACTGAGAGAGAGACACTGAGAGAGAGACAGACTGAGAGAGACAGAGACAGTGAGAGAGAAAGACTGACTGAGTGAGACTGATCGAGAGCGATACAGAGATAGACTGAGCGAGACTGGGAGAGGGAGGAGCGCTTTGGAGAATTGTCAACGGAATTCGCTGCGGTTAGTGGTGGTGGTTAGTGGTGGTGGTGGTTGTGGTTAGTGGTGTGGTGGTGGTTAGTGGTGGTGGTGGCGGTTAGTGGTGGTGGTGGTTAGTGGTGGTGGTGGTGGCGGTGGTGGTGGTGGTGGTGGTGGTTAGTGGTGGTGGTGGCGGTTAGTGGTGGTGGTGGCGGTTAGTGGTGGTGGTGGCGGTTAGTGGTGGTGGTTGTGGTTAGTGGTAGTGGCAGTTAGTGGTGTGGTGGTGGTGGCGGTTGGTGGTGGTGGTGGTTAGTGGTGGTGGTGGCGGTTAGTGGTGGTGGCGGTTAGTGGTGTTGGCGGTTAGTGGTGGTGGTTGTGGTTAGTGGTAGTGGCAGTTAGTGGTGTGGTGGTGGCGGTTGGTGGTGGTGGTGGTGGCAGTTAGTGGTGGTGGTGGTTAGTGGTGGTGGTTAGTGGTGGTGGTGGCGGTTAGTGGTGGTGGGGGTGGCAGTTACTGGTGGCGGCGGTTAGTGGTGGTGGTTAGTGGTGGTGGTTAGTGGTGGTGGTTAGTGGTGGTTGTGGTTAGTGGTGATGGTTAGTGGTGGTGGTAGTGTTCAGTAGTGTCTAGTAGTGTAGTAGTAGTACTGTAGTAGTAGTGTAGTAGTACTGTAGTAGTGTAGTAGTAGTGTAGTAGTAGTGGTAGTAGTGTAGTAGTAGTGTAGTAGTACTGTAGTAGTGTAGTAGTAGTAGTAGTAGTGTAGTAGTAGTAGTGTAGTAGTACTGTAGTAGTGTAGTAGTAGTAGTGTAGTAGTGTAGTAGTAGTAGTGTAGTAGTAGTGTAGTAGTGTAGTAGTAGAAGTAGTGTAGTAGTGTAGTAGTAGTGTAGTAGTAGTGTAGTAGTAGTGTAGTAGTAGTGTAGTAGTAGTAGTGTAGTAGTGTAGTAGTAGTGTAGTAGTAGTAGTGTAGTAGTAGTAGTAGTGTAGTAGTAGTGTAGTAGTAGTAGTGTAGTAGTAGTAGTGTAGTAGTACTATAGTAGTGTAGTAGTAGTGTAGTAGTAGTGGTGTAGTGGTAGTAGTGTAGTACTGTAGTATAGTAGTAGTACTGTAGTAGTAGTATTAGTGTAGTAGTAGTGTAGTAGTAGTAGTGTACTAGTAGTACTGCTGTAGTACTATAGTAGTACGATAGTAGTAGTAGTGTAGTAGTAGTAGTGGTGTAGTGGTAGTAGTAGTAGTGTAGTAGTACTGTAGTAGTACTAGTAGTAGTACTGTAGTAGTACTAGTAGTAGTGTAGTAGTAGTGTAGTAGTGTAGTACTAGTACTGTAGTAGTAGTGTAGTAGTAGTAGTGTAGTAGTAGTAGTGTAGTAGTAGTACTATAGTAGTGTAGTAGTGTAGTAGTAGTGTAGTAGTAGTAGTGTAGTAGTGGTGTAGTAGTAGTAGTGTAGTAGTAGTGTAGTAGTAGTGCAGTAGTAGTAGTACTGTAGTAATAGTAGTAATACTATAGCAGTAGTAGTACTGTAGTAATAGTAGTAATACTATAGCAGTAGTAGTACTGTAGTAATAGTAGTAATACTATAGCAGTAGTAGTACTGTAGTGGTAGTAATACTATAGTTGTAGTACTGTAGTAGTAGTAATACTATAGTAGTAGTGTAGTAGTAATACTATAGTAGTAGTAGTAATACTATAGTAGTACTGTAGTAGTAGTAATACTATAGTTGTAGTAGTCCTGATTAACGCCGTCGACTGACTCGGGTTTCCACGCTGAATCCTGACAGAACCCGAGTCCTGAGTCGAGTCGGATCAAGTCTCGAGTCGGATCAAGTTTTGAGTCTGGAGTCGGATCAAGTCGTGAGTCGGATCAAGTCTCGAGTCTTGAGTCGGATCAAGTCTCGAGTCGGATCAAGTTGGTTCAAGTCTTGAGTGACATCAAGTCGGATCAAGTCTCGAGCCGGATCAAGTTTTGAGTCAGATCAAGTTTTGAGTCAGATCAAGTCGGATCAATTCTCGAGTCTTGAGTCGGATCAAGTCTCGAGTCTCGAGTCGGATCAAGTCTCGAGTCTTGAGTCGGATCAAGTCTCGAGTCGGATCAAGTCTTGCGTTAAGTCGGATCGCATTGAAATCTGGCCCCATTGGGATCGAACCGTATTGGAGAACAGATCGCATTGGCATCGGATCGTACTGGAGTTGGATCGCACTGATATCGGATCGTATTGGGGGTTGGATCCCACTGAGATCGGGGGGGCATTGGGGTTGAACTACACTTTGGGCTCGGGCCACTTTAGGATCGGACCAATTTGGGCCCTGTCCGCATTAGGATCGGACCAATTTTGGCTTTGTCCACTTTAGGATTGGACCGCTTTGTGCTCTGTCCGCTTTAGGATCGGTCCTCTTCGTGCCGGGCCATGCTGTTCTCGGGCTCGCAGGGTCCCCTGCAGTCGCGCCCTGCAGACGTCCCAGGCGGTGGCCGGCGTCGTGGGCAGCTTGTGCGCCCTCGTGGCCGCCGCCTCGAGCCGCTGGGACGCGCAGGGCGGACTCTGGGACGACCCCCAGCCTCGACTCGCCAGAGCCGGCTTCAGGGATGACACAGGTGGGTGTGTGGTGGGTGGGGTGGGTGGTGGGTAGGTAGAGTGGTTGAGTGGGTGGAGTGGTTGAGTGATGGGTGGAGTGGGGGGGTGGATAGAGTGGTGCAGTGGTGGGTGGAGTGGTGGGTGGAGTGGGTGGGTCGTGGAGTAGGTGGTGGAGTGGTGGAGTGGTGGGTGGATTGGTTGAGTGGTTGAGTGGTGGGTGGAGTGGGTGGTGGAGTGGTGGGTGGGTGGTGGAGTGGTGGGTGGGTAGAGTGGTGCAGTGGTGGGTGGAGTGGTGGGTGGGTGGTTGGAGTGGTGGGTGGAGTGGTGGGTGGGTGGTGGAGTGGTGGGTGGGTAGAGTGGTGCAGTGGTGGGTGGAGTGGTGGGTGCTGGTTGGTGGAGTGGTGGGTGGAGTGGTTGAGTGGTGGGTGGAGTGGTGGGTGGCTGATTGGTGGAGTGGTTGAGTGGTGGGTTGCTGGATGGGTAGAGTGGTGCAGTAGTGGGTGGATGCCTGGGTGGGTGGAGTGGTGGGTGGTTGGTTGGTTGGGTGGCGTGGTGGGTGGCTGGGTGGGTGGCTGGGTCGTGGAGTGGTGGGTGGGTGGTTGGAGTGGTGGGTGGTTGGTTGGGTGGGTGGCGTGGTGGGTGGGTGGCGTGGGTGGCGTTGTGGGTGGGTGGGTGGGTGGCGTGGTGGGTGGGTGGTTGGGTGGTTGGCGTGGTGGGTGGGTGGCGTGGTGGGTGAGTGGGTGGGTGGATGGTGGGTGGAGTGGTGGGTGGTCGTGATTCATTGATCGAAGATGACGAATTTGGGTGCGATTTCGGGCACCGCTCATGTTTGGTAAATTCACGGCCGTGGTATGTTCATTGAACTTCTTTCGCGCAGTACGTAGCCAACATTGCTAGTCTGCGTGAATCTGTGGGTCTCTGTGTGAGTCTATGGGTCTCTGTGTGAGTCTGTGGGTCTCTGTGAGTCTATGGGTCTCTGTGTAGGTCTCTGTGTAAGTCTATGGGTCTCTGTGTGAGTCGATGGGTCTCTGTGTGAGTCGATGGGTCTCTGTGCGAGTCTATGGGTCTCTGTGCGAGTCTATGGGTCTCTGTGTGAGTCTATGGGTCTCTGTGTGAGTCTGTGGGTCTCTGTGTGAGTCGATGGGTCTCTGTGCGAGTCTATGGGTCTCTGTGCGAGTCTATGGGTCTCTGTGTGAGTCTATGGGTCTCTGTGTGAGTCCATGGGTCTCTGTGTGAGTCTGTGGGTCTCTGTTAGTCTATGGGTCTCTGTGCGAGTCTATGTCTCTCTGTGCGAGTCTATGGGTCTCCGCGCGAGTCTATGGGTCTCCGCGCGAGTCTATGGGTCTCCGCGCGAGTCTATGGGTCTCTGTGTGAGTCTACGCGCGACCTCCTGCGTACCAGGCGAGGTAGCTAACATCCCGGGCGTGCCTCTCCGCAGCCGTGCAGGCGGAGCGTGTGTACGCGGGCACCGCGTGCGTGCTGGCGTGCGCCGGGGCCTCCGTGTGCCTCCACATGCTGCTCTTCTGGGACCAGCGGCGGCACGGGACCCCCGCCCTGCACCGCGAGCGCACGCTGGTGCCCAGCTCGCTGCTCCTCGCCGTGCTCATGCCCACCGGTGAGTAGCGCCGGTGGGGCCCGGATCACTCCTGGTGGATGTGACTGGCAGGCTCACTCCGCTGCACGCACTCCCCTGCCTCTCATCTCTCATCTCACTCCACTCCACGCTCTCTCCTGCCTCTCATCTCACTCCACTCCGCTGCACGCACTCTCCTGCCTCTCATCTCACTCTACTCCCCTCCACACTCTTCCCTGCCTATCATCTCACTCCACGCACTCCCCTGCCTCCCCCCTCTCATCTCACTCCACTCCCCTCCACGCTCTCCCCTGCCTCCCCCCTCTCATCTCACTCCACTCCCCTCCACGCTCTCCCCTGCCTCCCCCCTCTCATCTCACTCCACTCCTCTCCACGCACTCTCCTGCCTCTCCCCTCTCATCTCACTCCACTCCCCTCCACGCTCTCCCCTGCCTCCCCCCTCTCATCTCACTCCACTCCCCTCCACGCTCTCCCCTGCCTCTCATCTCACTCCGCTCCACGCTCTCCCCTGCCCCTCATCTCACTCCGCTCCACGCTCTCTCCTGCCTCTCATCTCACTCCACTCCACGCTCTCCCCTGCCTCTCCCCTCTCATCTCATTCCACTCCTCTCCACGCTCTCCCCTGCCTCTCCCCTCTCATCACCTCGCTCCACTGCCCCCTCACCCCCCACCTATCCCCGTGCCGCTTGTAATCTCGCATGCCCCCTCACCCCAATTCCCTCCACCCCTGCTCCCCATCACCCCCCCCCTCCACATCCTCCCACGGCCACCGACCCCTCACCCTCCCACCCCCCCTTGTGCCCCCCCTTGTGCCCCCCATGCCCCCCCCCGTGCCCCCCCCCCGTGCCCCCCCCCGCCCCCCAGGCGTGCTGACGCTCATCCCGTGGGCATCGTTCACGGTCCGCAGCGGCTACGAGGGGGGTCCCGGCCTGCTGCGCTTTGGCTACTCCTACGGCCTGGCGCTCATCGGCTGGCTGCTGCTGCTCGTCGTGGTGCCGGTGCTCGCCGCGCTCGAGAACTGCCAGGAGGTCGGCGGCGGCGTCACCGGCGGCGTCACCGGCGGTGTCACCGGCGCCGGCGTCGCCACGCAGGCGACGGTGGAAGCCGCAGCGGCGGCGGTCGCGGCGGACGTTGGGCCGCTCGTCGGCGGCCAGGCGGAGCGGGAGCCGGAGCGACAGCGGCTGCTCCGGAAGAGGCCGCGTGACGCGGAGGGCGTCGCCGTGGAGATGAGCGAGCGGACGAGGCCGGCTAGCGCTCCCGTCGACGCGAAGAGGGGAGGGGCGGGGGGGGAGGAGGGGGGGGAGGAGGAGGGGGAGGAAGGGGGGCGAGGGAGGAGGAGGAAAGATGCGAGGCAAACTCGGGCGTATTGAGTCATCCTTTGGGCAGGGGGGGCGGCCATGGCCGGGAGAGGCGGTGACGACGGTGAACGTCACGGCCGCCCCTTCGGCCGTCCTCACGGTCATCGTCGTTGTCGTCGTCGTAGTTATCGTTGTCGTCGTCGTCGTCATCGTCGCACCTGGGGGGCTTAATTCTCACATTCGGGTGGTCAAGTCCAGACGGACACAACGGCGTGAGGGGCCAGTGGAGTGCTGGATCATCGTCGTCGTCGTCGTCGTCGTCGCCGTGATGTCTCCCCCCTCCGTGCGTGTTGATCGGGACATTGCGGCGTTGCACGTTGCACGTTGTGGATGACCCACAGTCGCCACGCCGCTGCCCGAGACTTTGTTGAGTTTCCCACCCGAGCAGCAGCATCGTCGCCAGGCGGCGCTTTCGCGTCTGGCTGCCGCCGCCGTGGTCTGGGCGGTGGACGCGTCGCCGCTGACGTGGTCTGGGTGGTGGACGCCGAGTTGAAGCGAACGACGTGTCCGGCGTTCCGTCGATGTCCCGCATCGCCAACACACAGTCGTCTCTCGCTCTGTGAACAAACGAAACAAACCCGGAGGCCGCCGGCAATGGCCTTGCGACAGAGGTCGCAACCGGGTACCCGATACCCGTACCCTACCCGATACCCGTACCCTACCCGATACCCGGACCCTACCCGATACCCGGACCCTACCCGATACCCGTACCCTACCCGATACCCGGACCCTACCCGATACACGGCTACCCGTACCCGATACCCGTACCCTACGCGATACACGGCTACCCGTACCCGATACCCGTACCCTACGCGATACACGGCTACCCGTACCCGATACCCGTACCCTACCCGATACCCGGCTAGCCGTACCCAGCCGGGTACGGGTACCCGTTTACGACCCTGGTGCGGCCGGGTACGGGTACGGGTAGGCCGTGAGTCACTGGTGAGTAACCGTTTGTCACTCATTTCCCAAAGTCTTGTCTCTTCTCACAATTCAAGTTCCTAGAATCAACCCACCCGCGCCTGCAACATGGCTTCATCCCAGAGGTCGCAATCGGGTACCCGATACCCGTTTGCGACCCTGGTGCGGCCGGGTACGGGTACGGGTAAGGAATCAAAACCCGTTTGCGACCTCTGTCCTGCGAAGACCACGGCGGTGGCGTCTCGGCCGAGGAGGGGCCGGCGAGCCGGGAGCTGCGACCCGATTCAGTTCGGAAAAGTGGGCCGAGATTGATTGATTGCACTGGTCAGCACACTTTTTCTGGCATAAGGTATAATTTTGGGGTGCTGATTCCAAATGTGGAATCAGTTTTTGTCCATCACATCAGGTTTTTGAGATATCAAATATTGCATTTTCAATAAAAACTGCAGAAGAGAAATATTAAATAAATGTGGATATCTACATATAATGATATTATAAACACACTATCCTAAAAATACAGCACCGTATTTTCGCACTAAAGCAGTCACTGGCTCGCAACAACTTGCAATCATAAGTGACAGAGTTAATTTCGGGTAAAATCAATGAAAATGGGGTATGCCGATAGCACAAAAATGAGATGTGATAGAGCAAATCTGAGATCAGATTTGGAATCAGCACCCTGAAATTAGTCTAAAACAGCTGCAAAAGTCCAGGCCAGAATTTTTTTGCTGACCAGTGTTGTTTCTAAATGAGCAGCACTTGCACGTGTGCGCGGCTTCATTTCTGACCACGGTTATTGTTTCTGGGCCCGCTGGACACGCTCTCATCGCCTCGCTCGCAAGTATGGGATCGTACTGCGTAAGGCACTACCACTAGACCGCAAGGCACGCCTATCCGTGATGATAATTCAACATCTTTCTGTCGTATTCATGCTGCGTGTACGTTGCCTGACTCACCCACACGCAGAGACCCATAGACTCACACAGAGACCCATAGACTCACACAGAGACCCATAGACTCACCACACACACAGAGACCCATAGACTCACTCACCCACACACAGAGACCCATAGACTCACCCACACACACAGAGACCCATAGACTCACCCACACACACAGAGACCCATAGACTCACCACACACACAGAAACCCATAGACTCGCCGACACACACAGAGACCCATAGACTCACCCACACACAGAGACCCATAGACTCACCACACACACAGAGACCCATAGACTCACCACACACAGAGACCCATAGACCCACAGACTCACACAGAGACCCATAGACTCACACAGAGACCCATAGACTCACCACACACACAGAGACCCATAGACCCACAGACTAACACAGAGACCCATAGACTCACACAGAGACCCATAGACTCACCCACACACAGACCCATAGACTCACCCACACACACAGAGACCCCTAGATTCGTGTGCTGTGCCGACCTTCATAGGTGCTACTCGCTAACAGCACTTGCCCCTACAGTCTGTTAAGGCTACACGGGGGATCTTTGTCTTGTGCGTGTCCCGGGAAACTCCGAGACACCGTGTAGAGATTCATCTTCTTGGTTCTTTCGGTAAAGTCACGTAGAATGGAAATAATAAAATAATAAAAATCAAACATAATAAAATAATTCTCACGACGTTTCGGCCACAACGCAAGCAGCCGTCCTCAGGTGAAGAAACAGGTCTGTCAGAAAGACAGCGTCTGAATGAACACCACCAGGCTTGGCAGCGTATATTTAAGCTGGGTTGGAGGGGGAAGAGCGCCTTGACAAAGGCATTTGCATATCAAGAGGAATTTAGCATATTTATGGGAAATGCAGGTATGTGATTAGTACTTCTTATGCCCGTGCATTATGCAGGAATAGCAGCATCAAAGGGAGGGGATATGGGAAATGCAGGTATGTGATTAGTACTACTTATGCATAATGCACGGGCATAAGTAGTACTAATCACATACCTGCATTTCCCTTTAATATGCTAAATTCCTATTGATATGCAAATTATTTTGTCAAGGCGCTCTTCCCCCTCCAACCCAGCAGCTTAAATATACGCTGCCAAGCCTGGTGGTGTTTCATTCAGACGCTGTCTTTCCGACAGACCTGTTCTTCACCTGAGGACGGCTGCTTGCGTTGTGGCCGAAACGTCGTGAGAATTATTTTATTATGTTTTATTTTCATTATTTTATTATTTCCATTCTACGTGACTTTACCGAAAGAACCAAGATGACTCCGTGCAGTCACGAAAGCTTTAAATCGAAACCGTGTGGGGATGTTGGGGAGACGCGGCGACCTCCTGGCATCGTCCAGGAGGCGGCGGCATAGGGCAGCCGACTCAAAACGCACTCACACCGCTCACCACCCTGCCCCAGAGTGTAGTGTATAGTGTAGTGTATAGTAGTTTATAGTGTATAGTAGTGTATAGTGTAGTGTATAGTCGTATAGTGTTGTGTTTAGTAGTGTATAGTGTTGTGTTTAGTAGTGTATAGTGTAATGTATAGTAGTTTATAGTGGAGTGTATAGTAGTATAGTTACTAGTGTTGTGTATAGTTGCGTAGTGTATAGTATTCTTGGTTCTTTCGGTAAAGTCACGTAAAAGGGAATAAAATAATAATAAAAAATTTGCTTTCTTTCTCTTCTACGCTACTTTACCGAAAGAACATGAATCCCTGCAGTCACGAAAGCTTTAAATCGAAATCTTTGCGGTGTATAGTTGTGTAGTGCATAGTACTGTAATATCGTTGTGTATAGTAGTGTGGTGTATAGTAGTTTGTAGTGTAGTGTGTAGTGTCTCGTAGTTTATAGTGTAGTGTATAGTGTATCATCATCATCATCACGTTCACACACGGCTGAGGGTTTTCTGCGGTTTTCCGTTGATTGGATGACAATAATCCATGTGTAGGACCGCAGAACTTGGGGCAGGTGTTGGCTGCTGCCTTCCCGCGTAGCTTCGTAGATTTTTTTAAATCCTTTATATTAAGTTCACTTGCTTGCTTACGACCGCGCAAACCTTTCAGTCGTTTTTTAACCCACTTCCCGTGATCCAATCGAGCTGAGATTTTGCACACAGACTCGTTGTGCGAGACAATTAATGTTCGTGAAAAAAAAATTTCAAAAATTTTACACTGTTTAGGGAAAACAAATTAAATATTTAATTACCAATTGTTTAATACTGCAGACAATCATCTGACCCATAGGTGGCAGCCATCTCAAGCCAGAGGACGAGAGGACTCTAGCCGCCACACATATAAAGGATTTAGAGTGAAAAACTTTGTTTTTACGGGTTATACTTTTTAAAAATCAGAAACGGAACCCGGCCATCACGGAACGAGAGCCTCGGCGAAGTGAGTGCGGGACTTGTCGGCGGGTGGACCATTTGTCCCGCAGTTTCAATGTCGATTCTAAACGCGGAGGGGAAAGACCGAGAGGAGAGACACGCAAACTCCAAATATACAGCAGCAGGCATAGGGATCGAACCCACAACCTCCTGTAAACCAGGCGAGGTAGTTAACATCTCATAGCCACCGTGATGATGATGAGAAAGAGACACGCAAACTCCAAATATACAGCAGCAGGCGTCGGGATCGAACCCACGACCTCCTGTATACCAGGCGAGGTAGTTAACATCTCCTAGCCACCGTGATGATGAGAGAAAGAGACACGCAAACTCCAAATATACAGCAGCAGGCGTAGGGATCGAACCCACGACCTCCTGTATACCAGGCGAGGGAGTTAACATATCCTAACCACCGTGATGATGATGAGAGACACGCAAACTCCAAATATACAGCAGCAGGCGTCGGGAGGTAACCCACGACCTCCTGTAAACCAGGCGAGGTAGTTAACATTTCATAGCCACCGTGATGATGATGATGATGGGAGACACGCGAAACCCAAATATACAGCAGACGTCGGGATCGAACCCACAACCTCCTGTAAACCAGGCGAGGTAGTCAACATCTCCTAGCCACCGTGATGATGATGATGATGAGAGACACGCAAACTCCAAATATACAGCAGGCGTCGGGATGGAACCCACGACCTCCTATACACCAGGCGATGTAGTTAACATCTCCTAGCCACCGTGATGATGATGAGAGACACGCAAACTGCAAATATACAGCAGCAGGCGTAGGGATCGAACCCACGACCTCCTGTATACCAGGCGAGGTAGTTAACATCTCCTAGCCACTGTGATGATGATGAGAAAGAGACACGCAAATTACAAATATACAGCAGGCGTCGGGATGGAACCCACGACCTCCTGTATACCAGGCGAGGTAGTTAACATCTCATAGCCACCAAGACGCTGTCCTCTGTCTGAGTCGTCCTCTCTCTCTCTGTGTGCCGCCCTTCCTTGTCGATGATATTATATTTCACAGACACAGTGCTCTTGATGATTCCGGCTGTGTGTTTGTGGGTTAAACATCGCTGCAGTGTTGTGGCTATTGTTTTTTTCTGGTGATAACACTGTGTTTTGTTTGCAATACGACTTTAAAAAATAAAGACTATTTTTATGTTGCAGGTGGGCGTGTGTGTGTCTGTAAAATCATCGCCACTGGGGAGACAAAGGCGGCCGGGCGTGGTGTTCGTCACGCACGCGTCTCGTGTGCCACAGCGCCGGTAGCCTTCACAGCTGCTGCTACTCGCTAACAGCACTTGCCCCTACAGTCTGTCACAGGCTACACGGGGGATCTTTGTTTGTCGGGGAGCGGTGGCGCGGCGGTTAGCGCGCTGCGCTCCGAACTCGGCGACCCGAGTTCGATTTTTTGGTGACGATTATCTGAACCGGTGTCCTGGGCCTCCTCTAGGTCGACTCAGCATCAAATGAGTACCCGCTGCGGTGTGTTAATGGGGGGGGGGGGGGGGGGGCTGCCTGCCGAACGTGGTGCTGGCCACCCACCCACATCGCGTGAGGGGGGAGGGCCCGGGACCGGTTCGGAGAATCGTCACCGGGGAATCGAACTCGGGTCGCCGGGTTCGGAGCGCAGCACGGCGCTAACCGCTGCGCCACCGCTCCCCCCCACTTCCTCTTTCGTACGGCTGCTGATGGAGAGTGCACCCCGCGTGTGAGTCTGTGCGTGTATGTGAGTCTATGGGTCTCTGTGTGAGTCTGTGCGTCTCTGTGTGAGTATATGGGTCTCTGTGTGAGTATATGGGTCTCTGTGTGAGTCTGTGGTTCTCTGTGTGAGTCTGTGGGTCTCTGTGTGAGTCTGTGGGTCTCTGTGTGAGTATATGGGTCTCTGTGTGAGTATATGGGTCTCTGTGTGAGTCTGTGGGTCTCTGTGTGAGTCTGTGGGTCTCTGTGTGAGTCTGTGGGTCTCTGTGTGAGTCTATGGGTCTCTGTGTGAGTATATGGGTCTCTGTGTGAGTCTGTGGTTCTCTGTGTGAGTCTGTGGGTCTCTGTGTGAGTCTGGGGGTCTCTGTGTGAGTCTATGGGTCTCTGTGTGAGTCTGTGGGTCTCTGTGTGAGTCTGTGGGTCTCTGTGTGAGTCTGTGGTTCTCTGTGTGAGTCTGTGGGTCTATGTGTCAGTCTGTGGGTCTCTGTGTGAGTCTATGGGTCTCTGTGTGAGTCTGTGGTTCTCTGTGTGAGTCTGTGGGTCACGTGCCGCGACATTCGGCGGAGGGGTTGGTGGGTGGGCTGGTGGGCTGGTGGGCGGGTGGGCTGGTGGGCTGGTGGGTGGGTGGGCGGGTTGGTGGGTCGGCGGGTCGGTGGGTTGGCGGGTCGGCCGGTCGGTGGGTGGGCGGGTCGGCGGGTTGGGGGGTCAGTGGGTCGGTGGGTGGGTTGGTGGGCGGGTGGGTTGGTGGGCGGGTGGGTTGGTGGGTGGGCGGGTGGGTTGGTGGGTGGGCGGGTGGGTTGGTGGGTTGGTTGGTGGGCGGGTGGGTTGGTTGGTGGGCGGGTTGGTTGGTTGGTGGGCTGGTGGGTTGGTTGGTTGGTTGGTTGGTGGGCGGGTTGGTTGGTTGGTGGGTTGGTTGGTGGGCGGGTGGGTTGGTTGGTGGGCGGGTTGGTGGGTTGGTGGGTGGGTTGGTGGGTTGGCTGGTGGGCTGCGGGGTTTCCACGTGTCAAGGTCATGGTGGTTGGTGATTATCTGATGGTGCTCATGCAAATTATTCGCCACCCACGCCACACGTGGGGAGAGATCGAGCCAACACACGTGGGCGAGGGGGAATCCCAGGGCCGGGTTTCAAACCGTCAGACAATGAATGGCACGTGAAGACGAACTTCTTTCGCGCCGTACGTGGCCAACCGTGGTTAATCGGAGGTGCGGGAGAGAGACAACAAACGAACACACAACAACAACACAACAACAACACAACAACAACACAACAA